CTGCTTGATTGTTTCACGCATACATAGGACTTTGTTATTCGTTATCAGCTGTCAGGAAACACTTACTTTGCTTTTCTGTCGCATCTAGCACTTCTTCTTCGATGTTGTCATTCAAATTATCCAGTTTTGTGATAGCTTCTTGTTCGTGATTTTCTTTTCTTTGGAAACAATTACGGCAAAGGTTCGGTCGATAGTAATGAGCGTTGAATTCTGAACAAATTGCATTCTTCGAAGGGTCTACAACAAATGCACAAACACATGAAAGATATAACATTGCTCTGCCTGCTGAAACCTCCTGGTGATACAATACTCCTTACTATTTCAAGACCTTTAAAGAAAAGCAGTTTTATAGTTTCCAATAATGGATTTTACATACTGTCATCTTTTGGAAACGATGAAGGCTTCGTTGGTACGTCCATTAAGGATAGTCGGCGTGTTTTCAACATTGTTTTTGGATTGCTTCGGCGTGTTATCGATTTGTGTTCGTCATTCGGCTGTTGCCCATCATCAGTATGATTTTTGATAGATGTAACCTTATCATCGAGTTCTGTGGAAGGTGAGTTATACTCTGGAGTCCCTAAAGAAGAAGAAAGAAAAAGTAGCAAAGTAAATATAGTTAAATCAGACAAAGTAGTCACCTATGCTAAGGAGAATTATTCTTCATCGTATTTTGAAATATGCATTGCAGGAAGTCTCACATTTCCAAGGAGACTTTTTCACATCAGATCTCCTGATTTTTAATTTCCTACTGTCACTGGCTTTTTATGTGTGGAGTATTTTACTTATGGCAATCTAAAAGTTGTCGCAGTAGCACTTGAATTCCTTATAAAAGGTTCCCCAGTTATAATAATACTAATTTTATAAAATACGAATGAGTATTTTTCAAATAAATTTTGTTAAAAACAAAATAGACAACTGTGGTTTTCACCATTGGAAGAGGAATGAAGATACATCGCATTGCATATTCCAGGGTTTTCTGGTGTTTTTTGTAATGTTTACAATCAACCTTTTTAAGAACAATCCTATCTAATAACTTGTTTACAGTGAATTTTCAATAATCAACTATGAATTCAAACCACTAATCGAAGATCTACAAAGTGCGAATGGTTGAGGTGAATACTATGCCTTCTAGTCGAGCCTCTAATACGATTTTCTACCAAAATCGCTGGGAAAAGCTCACTTTTGTACTTTTCCCTTTTTCATAAAAAAAAAAAAAAAAAATTTGCGACAGTTAGAAAATTCAATAAAATGATTTCAGAAATCAATATTAGAAAAACCTATAATATGCAATTCGATGCATCGACATATCCTCCTTCCAACAATCAAAGTCGCACTTTTCTTTGTTGTTTTTATCAAAATTTAAAAAAAAATTCTCAGTAACAATCAGGTAACCGTGACACATGCGAACAAAACAGATCTTATCGAAATTTTATTATCATGATATTAGTTGAACTATGATTAAATAGCATAGAAAAAAAGCATTCGTTTCTCTATTAGAGTGTATAGAGAGAAAGCTTTTTTTTTAACCTTTGTATAAGGAATTAGTTTACTACTGCCATTACTATTAGATTGTCCTAAGTGCTTAACAAGAACACAGGACTCAAAGTAAACCGATTTGTAGTGCCATCTTGTGCAAAAGTTATGTTCAGTTTAAAATCATGAGTTGCGATATGTGAGCTCCCCTCTGCTCCTCTGCTATGGTCATGATATCGTTGAAACGTGTTCGTTTCTTCGAGTAGATAGAAGTAAAGTTTTTATCATCAGCGAATTAGTTTTTTGCGCAGAAAAATGAATTA